TCTCCAGCTGGCATTTAGGAATGGACAGAAGCTGCCTGCTGGGGGCTTCTGCTGAGGACTGGAGAAAGGGCCATGGGGCACTGGGAGAGAACAATAGGGCCCCCCCCCCACGGCCTCCAAACAATGAGATCCCATTGGGAATAAAGAGAAATCTCAGCTCCATACAGGAGACAATGAGCTGAGCTCCATCTACATGTGCCATTAGCTACTGGCACTGACCAGTGTGTACGGGCACTGCTGCCCTTTTCCCAATGGAAGCAGAACTGATCTATTGTGAGACATAGGCCCTGCACTGCCGGCAGGAAACGGCGAGTCTTCTGCAGCTGGAGCAGGCCTGTCCTTTTGGTGCAGGGGAATCAGGGTTCCCTCCTTGCTGGGGCCCAGGGGGTGCAGAGCAGTGACAGCTGGGGCATGGTTACAGACCACTTAGGAACACCGCGGGGTAGCCCGGAGGGGAAGCCTTCTGGCTCTCTGCCCCCGGCCTTCCGCCTGCATCCGGCTGGCGCGGTGGTTGTGGTTCCGCAAGGCAGCCTGATTGCTGACTTGGCTCCTTTCCTTATGCCTGTGTCCGGGCAGGAAGTTCTCCCCAGGGCGGTGGCCAGTGCAGCCAGGGGCAGAAGGAAGAGGAGGGGGGCTTGTTCGGGGCACTGCGTCTCGGGTGCAAGAGGGGACTGAAGGGAGACCCCGGGGAGGGGCGGTGCTGCTGGGTGCGCGGGGCCCAGGCTGTGCTTGGAACTGCCCTGCCCTGCGCAGGGCGGGGTGGGGAAGGGAGGCCCACGGGCCTGATAACAGGATGCTCCGAGGGGGCTGATCCTACCCCAGCCCGGGGGCGTAGGGATCCAGCGTCCTTCCCAGCCGGTGGCTCTTTGCTGCCCCGTGGGAGACGAGCTGGGCAGGGCCTCAGCTGGTGGCTAGAGGGGAAATGTCTGTGTTGCAAAAGCTCCCCCCTCCCTCCCCTGCCCCAGCCCTGGCTAATTGCCCGGCTGGGCCCATTTGCACCCAGGGCTGGCGCAGCAGGGTCAAAACCGGGGGGCTCCACCCCCACGCTGCACCAGCCGGCTAGGCCGAGGCCGCCAGCAGGGGCGCGGGGAGGGGGAGGGAAGCGCCCCTCTCCCAGCAACAAAGCCAGCCCTGGGTTAAGAGCCCAGCGCCCAAGCCCAGCTCAGCCTCTTCCCTCCCCGGCCAGGGCGCAGCTGAAAAGAGCCCGGGGCAGAGACAGAGCTCGGGGCTGGGCCGCCCACAGGAACGGAGACTTCCCTGGGGTCCAGACCCACGAGTCTCTTCCCTGGTCCTTTGGCGCCCGCTCCCAGGAGGCTGCGGGGAACGGGGGCCCCGCTGGGGTCCCCCCTTGGGAGGGAGGGGATGTGACTCCCCTCCCCTGC